ACCCAGTCTAATCTAGTTAATTTTTTGAGCAATTCCTTTTTTTTTTTTTTTCCAATTTCGTTTTATCTCCATAATTTCAGTTTTATATTAATTAAAATCCATGTTTTATTTGGTGCATGAAATAAAAATTTCTTTTTTATTCGAGTAACTTTTTTCTTGAGATATTTTTTTTCAATCAATTAATTATTTTTAAAAACAAACTACTAGTTTTTTTTTTAGATACGAAAGAGAAAAAAGAACAAACAAAACTTAGATGTTGCATATTCTAGGTCAAAAAACACCAATGAAATTTTCTCTGATAATGTTAATGAGCTCACTAAGTGGTTGACTATAATAGCAGTAGTATGAAGGATTCGAGAATGCATGATTAGTTTCCTTCTCTGCACAACAGTTTCCTTCTCTGTGGACATATTGAATTTAAACATTCTAATTTTTAGTTAGTCAAGATTTTATGGCTTGTTAATATCGTTTTAGTCTTGTTTATGGTATACATGCCTAATTTATGATTAGGTCAATAAATTTTTGGAAACTCAAGTTACAAAATCAAGAAATGATTACTACCCTTTAATCAATTTAGCTTTTTTTTTTTTTTAAAAAAAAAAGATTGAAATTATTGATTATATTTTCACTTATAAACAATTTTTAGATTTGCTTTTGTTTAATTTTATTGTAAGACTGTTTTCCCCCATGTTGTGGAGAGAATTGATTCTGTTGGTCTAAGTTTTGCTCTCAATAAGTTTGAACAAAAGCAAAATGAAAAATTAGTCAAAGATTTGTATTAATGATGATTGTTCATATTTTACTCATTCTTTCTTTAAGGGTGTGTTTGGATGACGAGAAAAAATAAATAGTCTTTTTCAAAGAAAATTAGGAGCCACGTGACATGAACATTAATGGAGAATTGATTCATATTTTCTTCCATTGGATAGCTTCATATCTCTAAAAATCTATTATATCTAGAAATAATCACCGCCATAAATATCATATGTCACGTTTTTGTTTTTTAATTTTGAATTTAAGTAATATTTCAAATTCTTAATTTGAATTGTAATTTAATGTAAATATCATATATTACAATTTTTTAATTTCTTTAAGTGATAATGTGAGAGATTTCATATACCTATTAAATTCTAAATACAAATTAAAAGTCAATATTAAATTCAATAATTAATTAACTAATAATTGTTGTCTTTCATCTTTTTCCACCTTTATCACATTTAAAATCTTAAACTACAAAAACGAATTTACTACACATTACAATAATTTGAGAGTTAGGTTATTATTATAGTTAATTAGTTTGGTAGTTATAATTATAAGATTTTAATTAATAAATTTTCTTATGTTATGAAACTGAAGCTACCATCATTCATTATGGATATTCATTAATAAGTTCTAATTTAATTCGTAATGTTCCTTTAATTTAGTATCCATATTAATCCATGATATTTTGTATCTTTATAAATAAGGATTATAAAATATTTTAGATAATATAAAAAATCAAAGACCTAATTTCATTTTACCTTGTATTTATTTTTTGTTGATTTCGTGATTATTAATATTATCATACTTCTACTTTGAAGTTTCATAATAAATTATCAGCACTATCTGAGTTTAATACTTTCTCACATGTAATTTCACTTTTCATACTTGGATACAATTTTATTCAATTAATTATTTTTATCATTTCCGAAATCTCTTAAGAACCATCATATACACTAAAAATGAAAAAAATTTAAAAAAGAAAAGGAAAAGGGTCATAATAACAATTTAAATAATACTTAAAGTATATGCTATCGATGTGACATGAAAAGGCATGAGTCTCATACATGTTGTACATCAAAACATCTAATTGATCTTTATCAAACTTAATTAAAAAAAAAATGAAAAAAGTGTAGAGATAAATTTTGTTTCTTCAAATGATGTTTTTGTTAGAGATATTTGAATATGATACATTTTGATATACTTACGAATTATGTAAAGACCCGGAATTTAAAGAATATAAATTTGTATTTTAAATACGGAAGCAAACAATAATGTTAGAATTTACATTTCTTGCATAGTAAATTAGAATGCTTAATAGGGTTATGAGAATGTCTATTTTACAGCAGTTCGTAAATAAAAACGAATAAATGATTTAAAATAAATAAATAAATGTCTTAGGGGTTAATTTCTACTAGCACTTGATTGAGTCCAGAAAGTTAATCTACTCATAACCCTCCCACTGATCAGGATCTGGATCTTGGTCTTTTTGATATGAAATGGTTAATAGAAGAGTGAGCTATACTAACCCAGTAAGAATATCACGTTAATCGTTGAGACGGAAAACTGAAGGTTTGTAAAAATCATAAAACAACTAATAGAGCTCTTAATTTGAGTAAATTCATTTAACATAAAGACAATCGTTTGTTCCATACTTACTGTTGCGAGTTTTCAAAAAACGATCTATGAAGACAATAAATTTGAATATCATTCTTATGTTATATTTACATGAATAATAATAATAAACTTACCTCATTTCTTGCTTACCGATATCTCTGGAGGTCCATAGGGATATTTTTCTACTTGTGAACCATATATAGATTTGTCAATTAAACTGGTCGTCCCCATACCTCGTACGGTAATAGGTGTCAAACACACTATCACCTCAATACTCCGTCTGGTATGAGGGTGAACCATATCTCCTAAACTCTTCCAATATGGGACTTCTCAGTCCCGTCTGACTCAAATAATGTCCACAGTAGAGTTTTTTATGTACCAGATCTGTCCACTTTTTTCTAGGATACCCAGTAAACCTTTCATATATAGATCCTCATCAACAAAACAACTACTAATCGGATACCAACATCTTATTTTATATTCACGAATAAATTAAATAACATTTAAGCAAACAGTACAATTTTATACCTCAATAATTAAGAACGTAATTAGAGCCTTTATTTCAAATCAGTCAATCAGATAAAAATCACGATTAGACAATCAATAAATGAGAAAACAATTTAAAAGTAATAATTTAAATTACACGGTAGAACAATAAGTAATTTAGATAGTATAGAAAAATAAATAGGTAACATAGACGAGTTAGGACAATCGTATACTAACCAGTTTTCTACTCCACTAGTGACTTGTAGTTATTTTTAGGATTTTTCTAATTTTTCACAAACACAAGATTCGATTATTAAGTCTCAATTTATCGTAACAGAGTATATTAGTTTTCGCATAAAAAATTAATATACTCGTCACGTACCCAAAAATACTCTAAAATCTTAAAATCGGTGTTGAAAACCTTTTCAGCCAATTTTAGGCTTCCGGCACGGTGACGTCGTCTTGCTCTGGTGCCCACGGTGGTGGTTTGCCTCGATCTGGCCCAGTTTTAGCCAGTTTTGGCTGATTTTACACGTATCCCTGCGAAAAAATACGTTAGGAAGCCTCAGTTAGCCAGAAAAATAAAAAAATAAATAAAACCTACCGACGGAGAACTCCAAGTGTAGCAGCTCTGCCGGTTCTCCTTCATAGCTGAGATTCTTCTTTGATTAACTTGCACCAAAAAGAGATGGTAAACACGATAGTCAAAGAATCGTGTGAAACAAAAAACGGGAAAAGGGTCATCAGAGAGGGTTTAGGGTTTTGGTCGTGGTGGCTCCGCCGAATTTTACCCGCAGTTTTCGGCTCACCCGAGCTTTATCCGCAGTTTCTAGCTCATATGCCGTCTTTTTGCTCTGATATTGCCATAGGGAGACTCGAAATTGAATTTCGAGTGGGGAGGAGAAAATTTTATCTTTTTTGGCAGTCAATGATGGCTCCAGTACGACGGCAACTGGGGGTCGACCTCCTTCTCTAGTGTTTGGTTCTTCTTCTCTAGCGATGGTTGGGCGACTAGGGTTAGGTTTTCCTGCGAAGAGAAGTTTAAATAGTCATCTCCTCTTTGATTCAGGCTGTCCGTTTGTGTTGACGTGGAGTGAGGAGGACTCTTTGATGATTTTTCATTTAGGTTGATGGCGTGGATGAATCCGGACCATCCATCGCGATCTATCTCATCCGTCCGATCGCGATTCATCTCGTCCATTCAATCTCATCTAAAGAGGAAATGCATCTGAGCCATTTACACGCGCGGGATGAAGTCTAGATCGTCAGATTGTCAGGCATGCGGATTATTCACGTGGCTTCCCGCGTGGTACCTATGTCTGCCTACCTACCATGCGGCGTGCTCTGGTTCAGTCGGGTTGCTGATTGGGTTGTCCCACGTTGCCAATTTTTTTTTTTTTGCGATTTAACTCTCTATTTTTAATTTCTCTTTCAAAAACACTCATCGAATTCAAAATTTTACTCATTCTTTCCAGAATTATTTTTAATTTTGTCTTTAATCTATTTTTTTTCTAAAAAATTCACTAAAATTAAATTGAGATAAAATTAAATTAATTATTTATATAATTTTTATAAATAAAAAAAATTATCCCGAACCGATTTTCGGACCCGAGTATTACAAATTAATCTTCAAGTACATGTATGCAATTATCTTATTATCTATTAGTCTTTAATATGATTTCCTTCAATATAATATTTTGAATTATTTTTAAAATATTTTCATTTCTTACTTAGTTACAAAATAGATTAGATTAGAAGCTTAACTTTACATAAACTAAGATTATAATTTTCCTTCCTATTACATTAATACATTTATAAGCAAATTTAAAATTATACAAACCTATATAATTTCAATTTCTATTAAGATTACTAAAGTATTTAACAAAAAACTAATTAACTATAATTGAAAATTAAACCAAAATTAAAGTTAATTACAATATTCCATTAACCATCGAATAAAAAATACTAAAATTAAAATATCAAATTCAATTTTTTTACTGAAACTAACACTATAATTAATTAAAATATTATGGAGACTATGACGGTAGGTAAAAATATAATTTACAGTTACCAATTTATTTACTCCAAATTATACCTATTAATTTGCCTAGGTCAAATTAAGTACAGAGGAAAAAAAATAATTGAACGAACAGCATTTAGAATTCATTTGTAAGCTTTTTTTTTTCTATTGAAACTTCGATGTGATCTTTGAAGAAAATGAAGGAAAATACATAAAAAGAAAAGAAAAAGAAATTATGAATTTATCCTCTGGCATCCAGACACACACACACACACACAGATACCCTCTCTCGAGTTACGAAGCAACCGATCCGGAAAACAAGAAGCAAGAAAAACAAAAAACAAAGCTCCCGGAAAAAACGCCAAGCCGCCAATTATTCAAACCCGGTAGTTACAAGAAATCAAGGTCGAAGAAGATGATGAAGAAGAAGAAGACAAAAGTAATGGAGGTTCTCTTCCGCCACCTCGATCACCTTCCATGTTTCCTGAAACATTAGCACCAACTTCAACCTCGTTTTGTTTATTGGCGTTATCGTTTGGTCCGGCTATTTCGAATAGCAAATCGTCAATGCTGTCTTGGAAACCTACAGAGTCTCCTAGCAATGTCGGGAAGTAGTCGAGAGGAGCGGCGGCTGGATTCTCGAAAGTGCAGGGGAAGTGATCTGGAAGGAGAAAGGAGTTGAAATTACCTGCTATGTGATCTATGGAGTTCCATCCGTAATCCATGCATTGAGGGAGTTGCTCCATGTATTCCAGTATGTGAAGATCTTCTACTTGCTGTTCCTGCTGCTGTTGTGGTTGTTGTTGTTGTTGCCGCTGCTGTTGCTTCTGCTGCTGGTTTTGTTGATCTTCTTGATCATCATCATCATCGTTAACATCATTATCATCATCATCATCTTCTTCTTCTTCTCCTTCTTCTTCATCTTCTTCTACTTGTTGGTGTTGTTGAGGTTTATGCTGGTGATTATTATCTGGGGGAAGTGAGATGATAATTCCTTTCTTCTCCAAACGGTCAATGTAATTGCCGATATCAAAATTGGTTACTGCATTTGCTCCTCTGTACTCTATTGCCGCCATGTCATATGCTTCCGCTGCCTCTTCCTGTGTGTCTTTTTTTTTTTTTTAAAAAAAAAAAAAACAATCAAAACTCTAGGCCCACAACAAATATATTTATAGATTATTGTTTAATTTATTAATTTATAAAAAAAATAATTAGTAATGAGAAAATTTGAGGGTAGTGGGAAGATTGAAGTTTTAAACGTAATAAACTGCAAGACCCATCTGTTTTTTCGTAATAATAAACGTAAAAATCTTGACTTTTTGTCCACCAGCATCTGTTATGTCTCTATACCCTTGTTTTATTTATTTAGAAGAGAGGTACAGCTGTACCATACAAATGCTATATATAAAAATATATACACAGTACGCAGTACACACACACACACACACACACATATATAATCAAGTGTGCATTTGACCACTGATGATTTTTCAAACTATATTTATACATATATATTTGACCTTGAAATGTCCCCAACTACATTTGTTTTTCGTGGCATTAACCAAACCCAAAACATGGAAAATTATTTATCCTTTCAACATGTGCAATAATTTATTTATGTTAAAGAAAAAAGAAACTCGTGCCTTCAAATAGTAAACCCATTACTCAAATTTTATATGTTCGCTATATATTACTTAATTGGCCACCAATATTTGGTGAAATATTATGATTTCTGGCCAACAGAACTGGATTTAGTTAGCTCACCTAATTATATATCCAGCATATATATATATTTCATATACATATAATATGTATATGAATGAAAGGCACGTGAGGACTCGTGACTCCTAGTCAGCAAAAAAGATAGAAGATCTTTTCAGTACTTTAAATAAATAAAATTATCACTGCAACAGAGAGAGAGAGAGAGAGAGGGTGACCAGACTTTTGTTGTCCTTAGTTTGGGGCAGGTCACGTGCGCCAGTGCATGTCAGCTTCATGCAAGCAATTGTGAGTCCGCAACTCATTTTCTCACTCTTAGATGGCACCTCCCAAACTAGGCCACCTACTTTCCTATTTTCTTTTTTTTTTTTTAACCATTCATCTTCCTATTTTGTCTATAACTGGTGTCGAACATATACATATAAATATAAAAATAAAATGATTTTCAAAAATGGAAAACATTTATTTTGTTGTTCATTAAAATAATCGACATAATTATAATAAAATATCAAGTTTGACTGTCAATATTATAATTGAAAGCAAAAAAAAAAAACCCAAATTTGGAAAACCATTTACTATTTCTTATAAATCATCAATCATGTCCGATAATGATTATTCATCAAACCCACAAAATAAAAATAAAAAAAATAAAAAAAAAAAACACGAAAGTATTCCCCAGTTGATTAAGGTTATTATAAGGTGGAAGTTGCTTACTGTAAGTTCCCAGATACAAATACTTGTTCCCGAATACTCGTCCAATTCGAGCTTCCCACCGTCCGTTATGGTGATGTCTGTTGTTGGTCCAATTTTTAAAATAAGAAATAATAATTAAAGAAAAGAAAGTTTTTTAAACATGAAAAACGACGTAGTATTTATTACCTGGCCACCCCGCGATACTTAGACACTCCCCTGGAAAACCCACTGCTCCGTCTCCTCAGGGATGCCAAGTATTCTTCTCTTGATATTTTCTTCATCTCCTCCAGCTCTTTACTGTATCCCTCAGTCTGTAATTATAATTAAACATAATTAATTAGTTAATCAATTAATTAACATATATTTTGTAAATTAATTTAATTAGTCAGTCTGCAAACCGGAAAATTCAAGATTGTGTCTGGACCCCAGTACTTGAGGGCAGCAAGATCATATGTACGAGCAGCAGCCTCCTCGCTATCATAAGCCCCTACAGTTTTACACATGATCACTTTTTTCCTTTTCCCTATTTTCGGTTTTCTTGAGTGCAAAACGACAACGTCCATAAACAGAAATTTATTAAGAAATTATTATGCAAGCTGCGAGAGACACCACTTACCTAAATAAACTAAGCGGCGACAAAAGTGGATGTGAACGTTACAGTGACAGAATCAGTCGGAATAAAACATAGTCAGTACACAGAAAAATTTAATTAGAAAAAATTAATTTATTGTTGAAATAAAATAAGCATTACAGATCTCAGTTGAATTGAATTGAATCTTGATTAATCTAATGTATAAAAAAATAGATTTAATTAATATTGTACCTTGTTTTCCTTTCTTGTTTTGGGTGGAATTCCATGAGGTTTTGTCCCAGAGATGTGCTTCAAACCTTCCTGTCCATCTGTGCCTGTGTTGACCAATAACAACTGACGCATGCAACAAATTAAGAGACAGAAAACCAAAACGGCAGAGTATTTTTGCGTTTTACCTGGTGACTCCTCTGTAAACAGAGCTTCTTCTGGTAGCTGAGATTGGACTGTTTGCATTCTCAGATTTTCGATTTTTTCGAACGCGTTTACTCCCGCTCGATTCACGAGGCATGTGATCGAAAGAATACGAATGCGAAGACGAATTCGAATACGAAGAAGAAGAAGGAGAAGAAGAGGAAGAAGAAGAAGAAGAAGAAGAAGAAGAAGAAGAAGAGGAAGAATTAGGCGATCTCTTCATTCAAACAATCTGTTAAATTGAATAAATAAGAAGAAAATGTAGCAATGGGAGACAAGAAAAATGTGGAGAAAATGATATTGATATGAATATATAGAGAGCAGTAGTATATGTATTTGTGTATAATAGCAAAAGTGGTTTACCAAAACAGGAAGAGACAGAGAAGGGGTTAAGGGAGAGTAGATTTGTGTTAAAAAGGAGGAAGGAAGGAAAGACAGAGTGAAATTTAACCATGGTTAATATTTAACCATGGGTTAGGGTTAATTTCTTCTTTCATCTGGACTGGCCAAACCCAACACTTGTCGTTCCACTCCAGCCATGCTCCCAATCCCCTTTCTTCTCTTTCTCCTTCTCTCCTCCCTTTTCCTTGTTTGTTACCCACATATATATATTATAAGAATTTCGTGATTTACTAATTTCTAAAATATTTAATTTTCTACATATATATATATAAATTGGGAAAAGAATTTTTAAAAGACAAGAGAGAGAGAGTTTATAGGGGGATGATGTACGTGCAGAGTGAGTTACTTGAGGGGCGTTTGTTATTTGTTTGCGGAATCGATTCAAAACTGGGGGAGACAATCCGAGAGAAGAGAGAACAGCCACGTCATTAAATATTGCCCATCTATTTCTAACAATATTACGAAATTACCATCCGTTGGTGGGCCCCACCTCAACGCCTTTCTAATTTTTTTTTTAAAATAATTTAATCAAGTATTAAATTAATTTGTATCTAAAGTTTGTGTTTTATGTTGATAGTAATTTAAAATAATCTCTAAATAATAAAATCTATCCACATCGAATATTAAAATTATTTGTTCTTATATTTTTTAAATATTACAAAATCTTCAATTAATTAAAATTTTAAAAATGTCAAATTTCGTCGCTGAAATTTTAAAATATATTTAAAATTTAATTTCAAAAAATGATTAATGAGTTAAAACTCACATTGATGAATAGATATATAATCATTTTAAAAATAAATAAATGATGTAAAGCCGATGCTATAATTATTGATTTATAAATTATTAAAATTACAAATTCTGTAATAATCGATAATTACGCAGAAACACATATTTAACCAATCAAAAGAATGTAATAAGTATTAATCATTTAATAACTATGAGGACAAACTACTAATTGTTATTTTCCATTTAACATTTGTTATAATTTTGTTTTTAATTTTATTTTCATCATAACATAATTTTTAATTTTTAATTTATTTTATATGTTTATATTTTTTCTGTTTATTAATAAAAAAATTGCATCGTAAAGATAATTAAAAAAATTAATTTTAATTAACTAGTTAACTTAATAAATCAATAATAGTAATAAAAACCAATATTATTAGTAGTTTATTTATTCATTAATTTAATTGATTAGTTAAAATCATTTAAAATATTTAAATATATTATAACTATTTAACCTCTTATTATAACAAGTATTAAATATGGAGAACAAATTTAATAATTCATTATAATTATTTTATTTTAAATTTATTTTTATAAATTAAATGTAAAATAATTAGTTATTTTATTTGGTAGGACAAAACTGTTATTATTATGTCTGGGATTTTTCTTTTTTACTTTTTTAAATTTTCTTTAAATATTTATCTTAATTAAACAGTAAGGTGTCTTTTATTAAAAAGTACTTTAACTTTTTTTTTAGTACCAATATATATATATATATATATATATATATAACAAGATATTCAATTGACATGAGATTCAATATATTCTGAACCATTCATTAGCTACTAAATGTAAAATAGAAGCTTGCTCTGTCCAATTCCATTGATATCAAATACATTTATTATGTCATGTTTAATATAATTTATTTAGTTTTAAGGTCTATTTAACCCATTAGTGTTTATATTATGAACTAGTCAAAGTATTTTTAAATAATTTTAAATAAAAAAATTTAGATAAAAGATAATATAATGTTAAATAAAATCTGATGTAAATATATTTTCAATATAAAATGTGATTATATTTTATTAATTATGTTATAGAATTACTAATAAATGTTAAGATGATAAAAGATATATAAAAATAAAAAATTTGCTACCGTAAAACTATTTAAGTAATATTTTTTTTGAAATTTATTCTAATAATTTAAATTATGTTAAAGTACTTTAATTTTTATTTTATTCAATAAAATAATAATTTACATTATTAATTGCTATTTTAAAATAAATACCATTTTAATAAACTAAAATAAATATAAAAAATTATTGATGATGAATTTATTTTTATAGTCTTAACTATAACCTAGATAATTTTGGATTTAATAATTTTTAGATTTAGTAACTGAAAAGCTAATTTAAAAAGTGAAAGTCAACTTTCCGGATTAAGGACAACTGGACTAGCCTAGACTTGCATGATCTGTTTAACTCGAATCTAGATCAAGGTAGTTTTTCACAAAAAAGTTAGGTTCGGATAAGGACAAAGATGTATTGGTGGTAAATATTGATTGTTAGATTCAGGTTACAGATTCCAAAATTTGTCGGAACTCGACCATCTTCTATATATAATAAATATTTAATTAAATATAAATACATAGAGAAAAATCCTTGTTCTTCATTATTCATTATGTACCTTCTAAATACAGCACTTATTTAGTCACCCATACATCTCCAACAATCCAGCTCTAGCAAACAACCTCCTTTGCTTCATTATTCACTCTCAAAATATCATCCACCAGCCATATCCATACCTCTAGCAGTCCAGCAGCCAACCTTCATCTTTGCTGCATTTTTTATTTTTTGAATACACCTCTAGGTCAACAACCAGATTCAATTCTCATTAACCTCTTCTTGCTAGTTCAACCTTCTATTATCGACTACGAAATCGTGCCAACAACTCTGCCAGCACTAACATACAAGGTTAGTTTGGTTTTGTACTTCTTATTGCATGTCATGTGTTTCTTTCAGAATGTTGTTGAATAAAATTATATGTTTGATATTTTTTTTTCTTTTATTGTTATCTATTAAGGTATGTGGGTTTTTCCCCATCGAGTTTATCTTGTTTCCCTTCATTTCTCCACAATAAATGTTGTATCCCTCATAAATTTGCTCATAATAAAATAATGCACCTCAACTAAAAAGAGAAAAAAGTAAATTATGTATACTAATAAGAAATATATATGTTATCATATATATAACAAGTAAAAAGAAAGAAAGAAAGAAACAAAAAAGTACATCATATATATATTATTTGAATAGAATTAGTTTTTGTACCCTTGACTTGTAGGCATATTGATATGATAATGTAGATGCCATGCTCTTTTATGGTGATATGACTCTTTATCTCCATCTCAATTTGAGAAGTAACTATTAAGATAGATTGTCATATCTTGGTTATGCTTTTTGTTCCTCTTTCTTACCAGTACTTATGGTAGGCTTATATAAATGTGATTTAATGGATTATAATCATATTTATATGAACCTTCTGTTTGAAATGTTTAAAAATGTGATAAGATTATTTAGGAACCACTGTTTCTTCTCTTTCTCTTTTTGGTATGATTTTTGAAGTTTTTTAGAGAATAGGTGGTGGTTTAGTTAAAATAACCATGATATGAACAATAATAGGATAAATGATTTCTAATTGACATCGTGAATCTTAGGATTTGTATATATTGGCATAGTATTAGCATTTGTTTCATTTTGTTGCGTTTTTAATTCTCCTTTCTATCATTAGTAGAATATTCACATCTTAGGTTTAAGAGATCTTTTGGAGTAATAAAGATTGCCAGGTAATTGGTATAAATTAATTTTTATTTGTTTCCTTAATTTATCATATTGGCGTTTGTCACAACACACATGAATTGAAAGATTGAGATCTTGATCTCATAGTGATTTACAAAAGGATATACAAGTATGATACTTAGTGTTGATAATATTGTTACGTCATTTCCACTCTTTTCGTTTGGAATTTTTTAATTTCATATTTAATCAATTGAGTCTTTGCACTAAAAATAGGGATGTTAGAGAGCAAGAATGTATTGGATTCTCATTTCAACTACTTTTATTAAAGTTTTTTTTTTAACTTTTTCTGAATTTTTATGGATTAATTGAAATCTTTTGAAGATAAATCTCATAATAAAATAGTTTCTTGTTTTATATATATATATATATAATAATAATAAGAAGTATTAGTTTCCTTTTTTAGTTATATAGCAAGGGAGCTTAAATATGAAATTCTTGTATACTAATTTAATGTACATATTGTCCTACTCTTAAATTTTCTTAACCTTTTAAGTTGGTGATGTAAATGTGACAGTATGTAATACCTGAGCCCGAAAAGCAACCCGAGATAAATTTTCTCATGAAATTATTTAATTAAAATAATTAATTAATTTATTTTAGTTTTATTTTATTAAAGTTTTGAGAAAAAATGAATTAGGAACGGGATTAAAAATAATTTTAAAAAAAATAAGTGAAAATTTGAGTTCGGGGGGTGTTTTTGAAAAAAAAAATAGATACAAGAGGTCAAAGTGCAAAAACAAAAAATTCGACCACGTAGGATGACCCAGTTAGCAGCCCTGACAAATTAAAACATGTCGCGTGTCAAAACATACTGATGTCGGCACCACGCGGGTGATCTACATGCCCAGCAATCCGATGGCCCAAGTTCGATCTCATGCATGTGAATGACTCAAATTTGTTTCCTCCTTAGGTGCGATCGTACGGACGAGATCAATCGCGATGGACGGTCCAGATTCATTTCCTTCTTAAGTGCGATCGTACGTGCAACACCCAAATGAAAATAAATATTTTATTTATTTATTTTTATTATTTATTTATTTATTCGGATTTTTATTTAATTTAATTTAATTTAATTCAATGAAAATAAAAATAATAATAATGATAAAATTGGGTAAAAATATTATTTGGATTTAATTGAAATTGATTTTGAAAAAAAAAGGGTGAAAATTTGGATTCAGGGGGTATTTTTGAAAAGAAAATAAAAAACCGGGGGTCAAAACGTAATTTAAAAAAGTTGTGCCATGTTAGCACCACGTCAGCAGCCACATCAGCGGCCCGGTCGCAGCCCCGGCCAACCAGGACGAGTCGCGTGGCAAGGACAGGCTGACCAGGGGACGGGCCACGGGGGCGATCCGACTGCGCGCGATCGGACAGCCCAGATCCGTTCCCCCGCACACGGACGGCCCAGATCAAACGTGCGCACGGACGACCCAGATTCAATCAGGTACGGACGGCTCAGATTGCACCGCAATGAACGGCCCAGATTTAATCCCAATTAAATCGCGATCGAACGG